GTAATCCACTGCAGCGATGTACTGGTAGGAATTAGGGAACGGTATGTTAACCGTCATCTCCTTGCTCTTATCAGTGTTGTACATGTAGTCGATTTTGTTCCCCGTCCCTTCATTGTCGTCATCTTCATAGACAGTTTTGACCACGTACAGGACTCCGCAGATCATGAAAGCATTGGAGGCGGAGCGTTTGTCATAGCTGGTGTCCCATGAGCCCTCAATGCGCAGGGTATAGGGGTTGAGCTGGCTCACAACAATACGTCCGTTGTTCTGCTCCGTTGCATAGATCACCCACAGTCCATTCTCATCCACTGCTAGGTCAATGTCCGACTTCCCCCCCCAGCGGTATGGTGATGTGTCGTGGTAGTTGGCATTGGCGATAATGGCCTCACCACTCTTGATGCGAGTGCGTAGGTCAAACTTTACAATGTTGCGGGTGCGCTCCTTGTTGAAGAACAGTGCGCCATCGTAGACGACAAAACCAGTCCCATCCACACGATGTGGAAGTTTGTAGGTGGTGGTGGGACGGCCTGCGATGAAATCCTCCTTTGACGAGTACTCTGTCAGTGTGTCTGTGCGGTATGGCGTCCAGGGCATGTAGTAGATCTTATCTGAAGCCTGCAATGGGTCTTTGCACCATGCACCGGACTGGTGATCAGACTCAAAGAGGTGTTCACTTTGGTACACCCCTCGCAGAATGCCAGGGCAGAGAAATACTGAGGAACAAATGACAAAAATGTTCAAATTAGATACAGTTTCATACAGTCGCTGTAAAATGTCAGCGATTCTCTCTAGATTTTCTGACAGTGCCTGGGAAATGTTTGTCTCTTTTCATAAATGTTACATTGTGTTTTAACTTAACCTTAACCACCAGTGAGTGACGATGACATGATAGGCTTACTGTGTTGTGATTTGGATGTTGTATAGTCACTGTCATTCTTAAGCACAGCAACAGCATGCCTCTATTCAACAGATAATACCCAGCTCTCACTGCTAATAGAAAAAAAGAAAATGGCACATTTTGTTCTACTTCCCCCCTTTCCCTCTATATTCCCAGTCCTCCCTCCCTCCCTTCCTCCTTCCTCAGCTCCTCATTAGTCTCATAGCTCTTTCTTCCTTTCTCTCCCTTTCTATCTCTGTCAAGAACAACCAACTATAAGACCGAACACATCTTTTATCGCCTTCTGTTTCTGCAATTGTTACAATAATTCATTTCCCACTCGGTGCTTGGTATTCCCATCTTGGAATACTGGGGTCATGTTTTATGAGAGATGTGGGAGACATAGTAAATTCTAGAAAGCCAGTGTGACCGGAGTCATAGGGACCTTTGTAATTTAACTGGAATGTTGTCACATACACACACATACACGCAGTCGATACACATAGCCAGATGTGCATTGTGGTTTTCCCATTCTTCCCAATAATATAAATCCAGATCCCACGCAAAGAGCTGGGAATATTGATTTAATTTATTATTGGCTATTCAAAGCACTGGCATAATTTTCATATAATGGGGAAGCATTTGAAATATTAAATGTCAATGTAATTCTCTGTTCATTGGCTCATCATAAAAAAGTGCTCGACCCGTGGAGAGTTTGTTAAGTGACATTCTACACGATACCATGGAATAATATGGGCCTGGAGTGTGTCTAATGAGAACCAGTGTTTCAAAATTGCCTCTATATGCTGAGATCAAGCTGTCTTAATATAGCAGCAGTGACTTTGAAAGAGATGTCATTCTGCCACGAGGTACAAAACGCGTCAAGCGCTGGCATCAAAAACTGACACCCAACCCCGGATTTTGAGCATGTGTGCACGTTTGAATGTGGGCATGCTTGTTGCGCAGACTTACCTTTTTGTTCCACTTCTGCATGAGCCATAGGCAAAAGATTTGAAGATAAAAAAGAGAGATAGAAAGAAAGAGATAGAGACAAGAGACAAAAATAGATTAATGATGCAATAATAAGGAAA